AAATACAAATTGTAAATGTTAATAGAAAAAGTCTTCAGTGTTCGTCTTTGATTTTGTCAAAACAAATCTCATAAAATCGGTGAAGTCAAAATTTGTACGTAAAGCCTATCTATACTAAAAAAAAGGTATATTCAAATTTTTTTATCTAATTTCTTTTTTTTCTTATCTAATTCCTTCTTATTATCTAATTATAAAGAAATCTGTTCTGATTTTGTTCAATCAGATAAGTAAAAAAAAAGTACGTAAAATCTTTACTAAAATAAAAAAGACTTTATTTATTATCTAATTTTTTATCTAATTGTATGGAAATCTATTCTGATTTTATAGTACGTACTATAAATTGTGCACCCGTGTTCAGGAGCTACTTAACGGGCAAGCTCTGTGAAAATAACTCATTTAGTGCTTCTGTCCTGTGCATACGGTATGTATTTGTATTACACATACTAGAAAATTATGCACCCCGTGCATCGCACGGACTTACTAATAAATGACCTTAAAATTGTGCACCCGTGCATCACCCGCGTTCGCATTTTGGCCTATTACAGGTCACGTACTATATATATCCCGTACATTTTTCTTTATTCATTTATATAATTATAAGATTTGATAAATAGCCTTAATTTTGTGCACTCCGTGCATCGCACGAGATCTGTACTAGTTGAACTAAAATACTATGAAAATAAAAATTATTTGCACCCTTGATATAACTCCTTTAACGAGTTGGACAAGAAGGGTGCTATGTAGATGGAAATTAGGAAATTATTTATAAATTTAATTGCTCATACTTTTAAATAATAAAAAATGAAACAAGCTTAGTTATTTTTTTTTTTGCTCCAATTTTTATTATTAATATTGAATAAATAAATAAAAAAATCATTCATAAAGCTGCACATATAAGAACTGAGCTATAGTATATGAACCATAAAAATGCTATTTTCGCCAATTTATTATAGTTATTAATTGATAAAATTTTAGAATTATTTTTAAACTCTAATAACTTTATGTTTAATTGTTTAGATGTTTTTAATGTGTAATGGAAAATTACTAATGTTACATTTTATTTTTTTGGATTAAGAATATTTGTTTTTTTTTTCTTATTTAAGCCAAACGTGAGATTAAAATTATTTGATAAATTTAAATATTGTATAAATTGAATATAGGGTGACATTTTTAGACCTTTTCAAATCTCTAATAAATATCTCAATTTTTTTTTTAAAAAAAAAAACAAATAAAATACATTAAAATTTTTAAAATCTAAAAATGTCTTAAAAATATGAGTCGCTTGTTTTACCGTAAAAAATGCAATTAGTTTCGCTTCTTTTTCCTTTTCCAAAATAATAAAAAAAAAAACATTTAACAAATAATAATAATAGGTAAATAAATGAAAAATAAATAATTAATTAATTACCTTGGTAGCTCCATCAATGAGGAGCGGAGAGGAAGAGAGCTTGGCAAAGAGCTCCTTCTTCGAGGAGAACTCCACCGGCGAAACCGACCGTGAGACGATTTCCCGGTAATCGGACGGCAGGAATCTGTCCCAGACGAGGTCGGAATCCGCCGCGCCGCGGAACATCCCGGAGACGGCCGACGAGCGGCAGGCGTCGCCGGGGCCGGTGAAGGTGATGACGTGGCTCAGGCATTCCTCCGGCAACTCCTCGACGCTCCTCTTTCCCGCCATTGATTTCGAATTCTAACCTCACTTATTCCTAATTCTGCTCTTAAAACTAAGCTCTCTCTCTCTTTTTTTTTT